ATCTGTCGCTGAGATTTTTCCAGCCCCGCTCCTTCTATTGATATAGAGGACTCCGGTTGCCGATTCGTGACCCCGCTTCTGGGTCCCTTTTCTCACCTAGATAGCGAATTGGTGAATAGAACTCCGGTTGTAGGCCAATTTGCGACCCCGCTCCTGACACCCTTTCACAGAGTGTGGCGTCCTGCAGCAGCGGAGGTGGCGGTGCTGCTGTAGCTCGTAGACTTTGTAGTCTACCACAGAGGTTACACTGCTGTCACCGCTCTATCACAGAGGTTGGTCTACACTGCTGCGAGATCGGTAGGCCCGAGCGAGCTTTGGAAAGAGAAATGTAGATAGATGTTCTGATCAACTGACTCCCTGGTCAGGCTTTGATGGGTGGTAGATGAGAGTGAGCACAAGGGGCGAAGGCGCGCTTGTGTCTCATCTCAACAACAAAACAAAAACACAAGAAAGAAGCAGCAAAAACACAGCAGGTTCCGAGGGTCTCCGGGGTATTGGCCCGAGTACCGGAATTTCGGGGTTCGGAACAATGAAACAACTACAGTCTCGCCTGCCAAACCATCTCCGCTACAACTCTGTGCTCATGTTCTCTGCTGAGTACCATCTCTTCTTTCTGTATTATGTCTTCGGAAGGCTAGTTGCCGCAGCCGCACCTATGGTAAACTATGCCTGACTACGTTGTAACAGTTTTTCTCGTCAGAGACGACTTCTTCGCACCAAACAGTTTAACTCCCAGGATTTCACCGTTAAACCCTACAAACTAACTGTCCCCAATGACCGCGGCATCCGATTGTTACGCAATGCTTATACACCCGTACGATATACATACACCGTCCGTGCTTGCCCTCTGCATCGCCCGCGTTTGCCCACCTAAACGACAAGGAGAAAAAATAATTTTGGCGCTGATCATTCGATTCTCACATACAATTGGAAAGTCTATCGTGCGCGANTCGCCCGCGTTTGCCCACCTAAAGGACCAAGGAGAAAAAATAATCTTGGCGCCGATCATTCGAAACTCACATAAAATTGGAAAGTCTATCGTGCATGACTTGCTCACGCCAGCAAACGGCTATTTGTCTTGGTTTACGCCTGGAACACCGAAGAGGCCTAGAATTCTCACACAACGTGGGTGCATCTTGCATTTACACCGCTACGTACTCCTCGAAAGTGGGTGGCACCACGCCAAAGTATTGCGAAATCTCGATGCCCCCGTTCATGCATGAGTGCCAGTTAGAAAGCAGAGTGCCTACCCGGTACTGCTTGGCGACAGGGCTGAGCAAGAATTTCTGCGGCGGCTTCATGTTCACAAAGGCCCACTTGCCGGTCATCTCTTTGAAGCCCCACTCCACCGTTACGCGGCAGTGGCTCATACGCTTGTTGAAGTCGGCCATCTCTGGCGTTAGAGGGCCGACACTTGACGCGCTAAAAGGACAGACAAGGTGGTTGCTCAGCCCATACGCCGGATCTCCGTACAAACAGTACGGATGGCCTGTAGGGCTGTTTAGCATCGACAACTTCTCCATCAACCCAGACTGCGCTAGAATAAAGCTGCCATGACGTGTCCACGCCACGGGGCCCCACAGATGCACAAATACCCGTCTGGTGTAATTACCCCTTGGAAGTTCATGGCGTGCTTCCTCTTGTGCCCATTGTGGATCATTCGCTGCCAGTAAGTACTTGGGCCTGCGAATCAGTTTTGGGCGTACGGAAGGATGGGCCANGCCATGACGTGTCCACGCCACGGGGCCCCACAGATGCACAAATACCCGTCTGGTGTAATTACCCCTTGGAAGTTCATGGCGTGCTTCCTCTTGTGCCCATTGNAAGTTGCTAGATTTGCCCAGAATGGCTATTTCTGCTCAAACTGTTTCAGGGCGGTATCGCGTCGGGCGGTGGGCTCTGCTGTAGCTTCTGCTCCCCGCTGTAGCTCCACAACGAGAGACTCCCACAGGATGACCAGGGTAGCGGCTTGAAGCTACGGGCTAGCCCTTCAATTCAAGCTACACAGCAAGCTCCACCTCTCAGTGGTTTTCCGGCTACAGCGTATCGCGCAATCTCGCTCTCAATCAGATGCTACGCTCTCAATCAGGCGAATATGTTGATTCATCCCGAAAACCAAGCGCGTGTGCTTCAGGCGGCATGGGAAAGCGATCCGATACACGAGCACGCGCAGAGCCTCACGTCCGCTTACCACGAACCCATAGTCAGTTCGAATGAACGCGGGGATCAACAGCAGATCCAGCATCAGCATACCCTGCATCACGTGACACCATACAGGAAAGCAAAGAACGATGTGTTACTTGTTGTTCCAGTGCACACCTCCCCATTGGCTTGTGGGTCTAACATAGCACGGTGGCTTGACGCACCCAGAACGTCTACCCACTCGCGACCCACGAGATGCTGACATACTGCTGCTGCTGTTGAACGACATACTGACACACACACTTGCTGCTGCTGATAACCGGAGTACACATGTCCAAGCCACAGCAACGATATAATATTTAGCTGCGACATGCACTCGCTTGCGATTGCGTGAAACGTAGAAAAATGACGCAGTCCTGTGGGCTGAAGAATGCTTNGATGCTGACATACTGCTGCTGCTGTTGAACGACATACTGACACACACACTTGCTGCTGCTGATAACCGGAGTACACATGTCCAAGCCACAGCAACGATATAATATTTAGCTGCGACATGCACTCGCTTGCGATTGCGTGAAACGTAGAAAAATGACGCAGTCCTGTGGGCTGAAGAATGCTTTCACGTCCCTACGTGCGATACTCGTGGGCGTGTCGTCGAGTTCCAGACGGGCCATCGCATAGGTGAAAGCGATGTTGTACACGAACCATATATCGGTGTAGACTTCGAATAGATTACGGCATCGAAGCATGACCGAACACGTTTTTTGCGCTCGATTCGTTCGCGAATACGTAGACGGGACACGGTAGCCTCGCCCACACACTCGACAGTGGGAGCGCTGCAGAGCGCTCTGTCAAGAGACAGCTGTTCCCGCAGCAGGGCAGCAAGCAGCCACGGAAGGAGGGGGACTGTCATGCCACTGTCCACCCCGGCCAATCACTTTCGCCCCAGTCTGCAGACCGTAAAGCGGAAAATATTCGCCTGCAGGAAGTTCCAGGAATCTTTCTTAACTCACAATCTGTTTCCTTATTTCAGTAAATTTGGAGCCCCAGTCCGAAACTGTCAATTGCCCCACGGAAAAAATCCGAGGCGACAATTTTGGAGAATTTGTTTTTCGTTTTGATTTTCAAATCATCCCACCGAAGTGTAAAGCAGTTCTGAAAGGAGGGCTTTCCAAGCATATATACCAGTTTCACTGGTGGGTCGCCATATGTGTTGAGTTATTGCGGTTTTGGTGGGGTGAAGTGCCTTCTGCGGTAGTGATAATAGGGCCGTAACTTTCTTCAGAAGACGAAGCAACAGCTTCCGATGCGCTCATTGGAACGCCGCGAGGAGAGCTTTCTCACGAATGCTTTGGATCCACTCGACTCTTTGGTGTGCTTGTTTTTTCACTCTCGACCCCTATCATTGTACCGGTCTTACATGCCGTCACTGGGCCGGGAACATCTACTGCTGAGATTCCTGACTGAAGATATGCCATACTGCCGTCTTGTGTGCCTCTCTTGCCGTAAACCCTACGCCAGGCCCGAAACTGTACCCTTGATGCGGGACCTGTTCACGAGGCTCTACGAGAAGGCCCTCAAAGATACTGGAGGCAGCGTGGAATGCTCCAAGGCGCTGATGGGTCGGGGCTCTGCTGCGACGACTGGTTCTACTCTGTATCCGATGGGGTGCAAATAATGCATGTGTGCTGCGGCCGGAGGGACCCGTCGACGTGGCCGACATGTTCCTGTTCTGCAAAGTACGTCGTGAAGTTGGAAAATTATTAGCTTCTACATGGAGGAGCCCAATGCGTCGATCAGCCCATCTGCAAAATACGAAGTCATAGCCCATCTGTTACCCAATGTACCCACGAGTATGAACGTTGAAAAGTACTTGCCGACGACGTTCCCAAACGGAGCGTTCCTTTGCCCTGGGACTCTTTACACTGGGCGGGAAAATATCAATACAGCACTCCGTGAAAATAATCCTGATTTTATCAGGCCATAATGGGTCCCCCCGAACCTGACCCCAGGACTCGAGACTCGAAAGTTAGAAGTTGCTACTTTCCTTTTCTCCGAATCACAGAGTTCGAAGTCAATATTTGTTCGTTTAGGCCAGCCCTCCCGCAACGACGCAGACATAACCCCATGCTTACCGAGTGATTGATCCCCATTCCCGGCTAGGTCCGGCTACTGCCGTCTTGGAACATGGTACACTATTTTGACGTTGCCTTCATCATCCCGGTTCACCCATCGTCTGTGGCTGCCGCACGTGGTTGTAGCTTCTACCAATCCTTCTCATCACAGATTTGATGTGCCGTTTAGGGCCAATCGTCCACATTTGGGCGCCTGGTATGGTCGAGAATGCAGGTGCACTCCCGCGGGATGGCGCCGGCAACGTCGATATCCCTTCGCTGGCGACGGAAGGGGTCCACCTTGGCGGCAGCGGGAATGGGCGTGGGAAGCCACAGGCGGAGGCAAAATGCACCCAAGATCGCGTGTACAACGTGCTGCGCGACGCGGGACTGAACCCACGGGTTCAGCGTGGCACCGACTTCGCTGCGCTCGTCGACCTGTATGCGAGGGAAGCGTGTAATGGTCTTCACGGGAAGCCTTTCGCTACCCTTGCTAGGAACTTTCTACCTTCGTTGCACGGCCGGAGCCGGTACTCCGTTGATCTCATGGAGGTTGTAGCAGTGCTCCACGCGCGTATGAGCGCGATCGTGAGGATGCTCGAAACGGGCGAAAGCGAGGAAGAGGCGTTTAACTACCAACAACATATTCGCCTGATTGAGAGCGTAGCATCTGATTGAGAGCGAGATTGCGCGATACGCTGTAGCCGGACTACCACTGAGAGGTGGAGCTTGCTGTGTAGCTTGAATTGAAGGGCTAGCCCGTAGCTTCAAGCCGCTACCCTGGTCATCCTGTGGGAGTCTCTCGTTGTGGAGCTACAGCGGGGAGCAGAAGCTACAGCAGAGCCCACCGCCCGACGCGATACCGCCCTGAAACAGTTTGAGCAGAAATAGCCAATCTGGGCAAATCTAGCAACTTGTCTAGCTCCTCGCTGCAGCATCCGATGACGATGACACGCATATGCTCGCGAAGCTGCTGATGAGACCTTCAATTTGCACCGCTTCTTGGAATAGCCCGTCCCCTACTTGCCAAGAAATGGCAAGAGGCGTCTGGACCCGAAATTTCAATTTTTTTGGCTCTCGCTCTCAATCAGATACTTCGCTCTCAATCAGGCGAATATGTTGTTTACCGTCCTTGCGGTGCCATGCCGCCCGACTTTAGCGCCCCGCCAGCAACTCGCCATGAATGTGATTTGAGGTTTGTGCTGAGAAACACATAATAAACATGTGTTTGTCGCTTTTTCTTGTTCGTGCGTGCATACAAGTTCAGGTGGTTTCCAAAACCAGCTACCTTTCCTGATTTCGCCTGCCGGAACCCGTCGTTGGCATCCTGTTTTACGATACAGTGCAAAATATAACATTTGCCCCCTTCGTTGAGTGCGTTAACACACCAAAAAGGTCACCCCCCCCCCCACCTCCTGTTCTTCCATTTGTTGTTCAGTTCAAGCTCTGCACTCCGGGTCAGTATTTAGTGCGGCAGCACACGGTCCACTGTCCGAAGTTCGTTCAGATCCGGCTCGGTTTCTGTCTGCTTCAACATCCAAGCAGACGACACGCCGAAAGAGCGTGTTCCCCACCCCTACAACGGGGAGAAGGCCGGACCGTATGTTGCGCCTGATCACCTTCACGACTTTAATCACGGCTCCGACTGCCGCGATAAATACGGCCAGCTTTATACTTGCAGTCAGTTGGCAGGAGTCAACTGTAACGTACACGAACAAAGTCACGCGGCGAAGACGTTTCTGGGAATGATCAATACCATGGGGTTCGACCGGTAAAGCTCGTCAATGAGGTATAGAATGAGGCCATCAACCACCGTACCCTACAAGTGTTGGTCGACTCCGTACGTCAACATAGAAGCAGTCGATTAGCTGTTTGTAAGGTGGAGATTTGGTTGACCGGGCGATGCTGTTGTGAGAAGCCTTTGCAATTGCGGTATAATCAGTTCGGCCGAGCACGACTATTTTTCCTGTGGAATTATGCCCCTTGTTTTCGGAGTCGCAGCCGAGGAACCAAAGGCCGAGGAGGAGATAGTACGGGATTTTGATTGAGGTGTGTGCGTAGAAGTAGGTGAGGGTGGAGACGAGGACCATTCGGATTCGCGTGCGTACGAGTTCGAAGGAGACGTACCGTTCAGATCATTCGAGTGATTTTCCGATACCTTGCACCAGGCCCCCGCAGCGGTGTGGGTTACGTCTGAAAAAATCCTTTTCGCAGATTGAATTTTAATTATCGGACAATAAGTTTGCGTTCTCATGGGAAACAAACAACAGCGAACGGATTCCATAAGTGCACCCGATCGACGCTGTCCTAGGACTCGGTAGGAAAAAATGACATACACCGGAGCAGCATCGGCGAATGGAAGGAAACTCGTGGGTCGTATCTGAATCTCTTTCCGGTCGCCTCGAACACATATGAAGCTTGGCAGCGCCAATCACCTGATGGAAACGGATCTTTAGCGCTTTTTCGTGGGTTGGGATCCGGTCGGCTGCTGATTTTTGCGCGAGCGTACGGCAAACTACAGAAACAGCCACGTGGCAGAAGTGCATGTCGAGGAAAACTGTTACAACGTAGTCAGGCACAGTTTACCATAGGTGCGACTGCGGCAACTAGCTACCTCCGCTGCTGCAGGACGCCACATTCTGTGAGGTTATGAGCCTCGCTTTACGCGAACACGAGGAGCTGCGGACGTCACGACGGAGGCCAAGACATCCTATTGCTGTGGACCACAACATCCGTCTGTGGACTTCGAGCGCGGAAATCTGGATTCGGAGATTTGGGAGATCATCAACGGTCAGCGGAAACGAAAGTGAGTGCACTACTTGGTCATCTACACCAAGGGGCTGAGAGTTCATTACACACACACAACAACATATTGGTGAAATTGAGAGCGAAGCATGAAATTGAGAGCGAGATTGCGCGATGCGCTGCAGCTGGACTACTGCTGAGAAGTGGAGCTTGCTGTGTAGTTTGAATTGAAGGGCCAGCCTGTAGGTACAAGCAGATACCCTGGTCATCCTGTGGGAGTCTCTCGATGTGGAGTTACAGCGGCGAGCAGAAGCTACAGCA